TTTTCAACAGTAAGCAGAAAGGTTGACTGATTGCATGTAACCAACAGAAAATTTGGGGAGTTCCGGCAAAAACATACATCCTTATTAAGTAGAAGAGATATTTAGAAAAGACAAGCATGACTTTGCTTAGTCTTATTACAGAAAACATGTAAACAGAAGACGGACCAACGATCGAAACCAGGGGAGAGCAACTGTGTCTTTATGAACCAGTGAGGCTATGTCCATTTGCCTAATTCTGTGGTTCCCCTCCAGTCTTGATTTCAGAAGTCTGCTAACAGTACTGTGGTGACTCTGAACTGGTGAGTAGAGAGTGGAGGAGTGGTTTGACTCATCTGCAACAGTAACAGGAGGAACTGAGCTTGCTAATGTTAAATTGCTTTTTATTTTTATTTGAAAAGAACTCAAGATTAAACAGGTATTGAGCTTTAAAAGGGGGAGTGTTGGCCTAGTGGTTAGAGCAGTGCTCTTGTTCTGAGAAGGTTGCACGTATCCAGTTCACCCCAGCCTGCACTCTGGGTCCCTGAGCAAGACCCTTAACCCCACACTGCTCCCCGGGTACCACACCATGGCAGCCCACTGCTCCACAAGGGGATGGGTTAAACGCAGAGTGTTAATTTCTCCATTGTGAGTTAAATAGATTTCAATTTCTAATCTATTTTTTCTGTTTCTAGAAGTCTCTCTTGGCAAATATACTTCTAAAGAGGATCTTGACATGAAATTACAACCATATTTCATTTTAGGTTCTGAACAGAAATTATGTTCTTCATGCTAAGTGAAGTTTATTCATTCAGTCCTGTATTAAGAACACACATCTACATATAGCACAAATGTGAAAGCTCAAACTGTCTCAAAAACTTGAAAGCTATTAGGTATCTCCTCTGTTTACTCTGATTTCTTTCATCAGTGGGTCGTGTGAAGGACTGGACATCGTAGCCTTTCTTTCTGAAACCCTTTTGTGAGTTCCCTTTGCTTGGTGTTTGGATGCATTATCCTGCTGAAATGTCCATCCTCATTGCCTCTTTAAAATGCTTCAGCATTTCTCTACACAACTGTGTTCGGTTACTGGGTGTCATATGCTGTCTCACACCAGGGTGTTCTCACATCCAGATTTTACGGTAGATGTTTTCAGGGTGATGTACCAACCAATTACTCCTTTAAACATGGAATTTGGAAAGGACAAGCAAATAGTAACATTTTTGTCCCATATAACATTATTCACCAAATATTCTCCCAACATTTGATCACTTTGTTAATCAGAAAACCTAAAATAAGCTTCAAATCAGACATCAGACATGAAAAAAAGGGAACGCAGATAGAGAACTGACAGCCCAACAGGGAGAAAACATGCAGTGTAAAAGATCACAGAATGAGGCAGATAAATAGAATAATTCAGCAGAAAATGAGAACCAGTGAACCAATATACTGAGGCAGGGATGGAAGAGCTAATAAGATGAACTGGGGATCATCTGATGCATAGTGAATACAGGGTAGGTGAAGGAGGCTTGCCTGCCTCACAAGAATAGAGCTGCATGGAAACACAGGGAGGTATTTAAATGGAACTAAAGTAACTAAAAATGTAAAAGAATACTTAAATTAAAGAGAAATTTAAACAGGGGGAGTGGAAGCCTAATGGTTAGGTCATAGAGCTTGGAATCCTGAGGTTATGAGTTCGAGCCCCCTCCCATAGACTGCCACCCTTGCTCTCTGTGCAAGACCCTTAACGCCCGACTGCTCCCTGGGTGCCCCACAATGGAAGCTCACTGCTCCCCAAGGGGATGGGTTAAATGCAGAGGTAAATTTTTCCAATGTGAGATCAATAAAGTTCTATTATTATTATTATTATTATTATTATTATTATTATTATTATTATTATTATTATTATTATTATTATTATCAGTTATTATTAAACACAAAAGAATAGACAGATATTGAAAACACCAATCCTTTAAAATTAAGCCCAGAGGAATGAACTCAGATGACAAAACCCAAATGAGCCTAACAATAGAATATGCAAGAGCTATTAGAACATTATCATTAAGGAAATTTTAAAACTAAAAAATAACAAACTGCAACTGGAGATCATGACATCAACAAGCTTTACTTTAACAGTGGAGTTTTATGGGTAGGCAAGGTCATTAAGGTTTAATGGGTGGAGACGTGTTAAGGATAAAGCTGGAACTATCAGCTATTGCCATATCTGTCTGAACTGGAAGTGCTGCTTGGGTTTTGGAAAAATACATTTTTTCTTTTACTTTTCTGACAGATAAAAAATCCAAAAAAGGCCCCCAATTCTGGCTAGTTTATGTTAAACTAATATTCTTTCCCCTTAATGGTTCCAATGGTAATGAGTGGACACTGAGAAATTTCAAAATGCGTCTACGTCTACTTTCTGCAGAGCTGTTAAGCTTCTTCTGTGAACATTTTACAATGAAAAACATTGATAAAGTTTATTTGAAATAAACTTACTGATATTGGTGATATTATTGATATGATAGTGGGCTGGTAATTGGAACATACTAGTTTCCAAATTTCCTGTGCCGTGTCACTGCTTATTTTCTTGAATTGTTAAATACTTATTTTATCATTTCACTTTACTTCTCAACTTTTTCTTACTTTATTTAGTTTCTATACCCAGGTTGTTAGTAATATCCATTGGGAATTTAAAGAAAAAACTTCTTTACTGCAACTCATATTGAAAGCTCTTTAAAACTCTACTCAATACAAATAAAAGAAATAAAACCTCACCACCAGGCACCAGTAAACAATATTTATTATTACATTTACATAAAAATCAATTCATAAAAAGACAATACCAAGGTTGATTGTGCTGAAAATGTGGTCTATATGTAGATGACTTCCTGTGGAGTGTACGTTACATTGCATAGCTTGTATTGGCATGTGAAGAATTTGATGCAAGAAAGTGCGTTTGATGTTAAATGCGGTGGCATTTTCTAATTAATCAGGGTCCAAAATGAAAATCACAGTTGAATCTCAGCAGTGTACAGAATCTTCCCATTGATTCACACCTCAAAACCACATCTACTTACCGGAGTAAATACCAGCCATAATTATACATTGATGAGTCACAGCATCATTATGAGACACACATTCAAGCACACCGATCTGAAGACGTTCAAAGCAGAATAAGACACTGATATAACAATACACATTATCAGTAGATTTCAGAAGGGATCTTAATAAAATCATGGACCTATGTAAAATGGCAAAAGCTATATTGTACTGTGTCCTATAGTGATCTGTAAGCAGCTAATCTGTGTGCATCGCTTGTCCATAAACAATAAATCTACACAGCACTGCCAAGACAGCTTAGAAACACAATGTGAGAAAACAGAGGTCAGATCATCAGGTGTGAACAAGTCTTTTTATAACCACAGCACTGGACGCTTAGTGAAACAAAGAGGCTGACAGTGGCTCTTGGGAAATTTCCTTTCAGTCAAAACTACAACACCGTGCACATAAAAAGGAAAAAAAAAAAAAAACTCCTGAGATGAGCATCTTTATTCAAGCATACCTCAACCTGTGTTTAAAAAAAAAAAAACTTTCCCTTAACCTTTAATAAATATAACAGTATCCTGGCAAAAACACAATGGATCACCTACACTCAGGATGGTTTATATAAGTAACCCCACAATACAGTACAAAAAAAATAATAATTGGAAAATGATATGAATTAATATGGCATTAATATGTATAATAAAAATTGATTACCAAATAATCCAACAAAACTATTGTCAGATTCTTTATTTACTAGGAATAGATATGTAAGATAAAGATAAAATAACAAAAAAAATAGTTTTCTACAAAAAATTTGGAAATCCAGGGTGATTTTTCTAAAGAATACCCCTTCATTTTGGAAAAAAAAAACAACTATGATAATATATGTTTTTTTTTTTTTATATACTGACACAATAAAACAGGTACAGGATCTCTTTGCATCCTCTTGGATCCCTACTACATCATTAACATCCTTAATTCTATTTCTCAGCCTGCAAAAGCCATAAGGGAGAAACCTTAAGAACTAAAATGCAAACTGTTTGGTGACAGTAGAGGTGTTTTAATCATTTCTTTCTTTTAAAGGGAAGCTTTAAATATTCGCTTTTGCACTGGGTAGAGTCAGAGGTAAGCATTGGCTGACTAATAGCATCAGAGCATACAAGGATTAGCCAGTGAAAGTCCCTCCTATTTAATGTTGTTTAAATGAGATGCATGGTGAAGTACTAGAGGAACCAGAGATTTCTTTTTGCATTTGGAGCACGGAGTAAACAATGCTGCCCCTCCCCAACATGTTGCCAGACACTGCTGCTGTCCTATTTTCCATTAGTTACACACAAAAAGGTATTTGTAAATAATTACAAAATTTTATTATTTATGGTTCATAAATTGAGAATATTAAATTCAATGCCTTAATGGCATGCAGTTTCAGTCAATAAAGTTTTGGAGGGAATCCTAAGGTAACAGGCTCTGGTTATGTAAAGTATACCATTGATTCCCAAAGTTGGGGTCATGACCTCGCATGAGGTCACAGATCTACAAGTGTGGGGTCTAGAAATCCTTTTGAGAAATTAAAGTAAACTTTGAAAATTATGATAATGAAGCATTTCTATATGTTTAAACATATTAAAACATCAGTTACAAAAAAAAAAAAAAAAGCTTTTTTATTTTTCGATTTAATTAAAAAAGCTTCCTGAATGGGAAGCAAAATGTCTTCAAACTTGGAGACAAAGTCCAGTGGTTGGTTTTTAACTTTCTTGGAATGACTCTGACCTAGATGACTGCGAATCTTCACCAGCATATCACTCACAACTAGACTAAACAAAATACACATTATTTATGCTGTTTTTATTACTATTATTTCTGTTTTTACCAGGGTTTTTAGCAATTTTTGTATTTCACCAAACATTTAGGTCGTGAGACCATTCTGGTACCATTTTATGGGTCAGAAGCCAAAAACTTGATAACTAATGTATACTACCATGGAGATTATTAGGGTGACACATGACTGTAATGTGAGTCAATATTAATCTGCATTTTCAATGGTTCAATGTCTGAGGGCTCCATTGCGTGTTTCACCAATTCTTTAGCAACAGTTTTCTGTTATTGTAAAATGCAGTCAGGGATGAAAAACACAGGATCTTATCCAGTGACAAAGGGCATAAGGGTGAATCATTATTATTTCAAAATCTGATCTTCTCACAGCAGTGCTTTCAATTCATCTCAGAGCAGTTTGTCTGTTTAACTATGAAAAAGAATCAACTAATCACGGGAATGTTTCCAGCCGAAACAGGTGTTCTTTCACTGCAAAAGCCACAGCTAAAGTTTATCGGTTTATACTGTATGTGCATCCCTGAACAGCACTTCAAGTAGTCATGTAAACATGTCATAACCTAACATGTTCAAAGACATACGGTTATCAAAGCAGGCAAAAAAGGAGCATTTAAACCTTTTCATTAAAATTCTGATAATGTGAAATCTTCAAATTTTTGCTGAAGGTTATACAAAACCACATACTGGCTTAACTTCCATTCTACTTAGACCAATGCATGTTTGACCTTTTCTATGGAAACTGGAGTTTAATGTCCTGAAGTTACTTCAGGCACTTTAAGCCATTATCCTGAAACTGGGAATAGCATGGTACCATCAGTCAAAGCTGTAGTGATAAATAAATACATAGCATAGTGCTGTAATGAGTGCCCTTGAATGAATGCAGTACATTAACAGACACACTCAGTAATGCATTTGCTCAATGTAATTTTTTGGTGTTGTGAAACCAACTCAGGAAAAAAAAAAAAGAACATATAAAACCCCCATATATCCCCTATGTCCATCTGTCCGGTCCATGCATATCGCTGCTCAGACCTCAGAGCTGTTGTGGCAGTCTTGCATTCTCACCACCAGCATGGGTTCAGTGCTGACGGACCCTTTCACCACCTCCTGCACCCCCTCACTCCATACCTCCTTCCCCTCCTTCTGTCTGGATCTCAGCACCAGCGTAATGGTGACAATAATGAGGACTGTCAGTAGCAGCCCCACCAGCGCCCCCACTATGCTCACTAGATTTTCCTCCTGATCATCAGTGTTCAGCTTACTAAGTTCTCTTCCACCCGAGAACAGCTCAGGCGATCCCTTGGACCTTCTCTTTGTGCGGTCCAAAGCAATATGCATGATGTTGGTCCCTCGGCTGTTATCTATTCCAATATCCTCGGCGATGGCGCTGATTTCCTCACTGGCAGCCCTTCTCCTGCGATGGCCTTTTTCGCTTGATGATGTCAGGGTGGAAACAAAAGAGTGGTACTCCAGACTGCGTTTCCCAATGCCCCTGTTGGTGTTTTCTTTGGAACGAACAGTGTAAATAGTGTGTATATACCACTCACGCCCTGCAGCAACCTGAGGATGAGAAAAGTAATGAATCCACAAAAAAAGGCTGTAGGAGTTATGAGAAAAAATTTAATCAAGCATTCTACTGAGAACAACAGCAAAAAAAAAGTACAATTCACACCCCGAATTCACCATGATATAAACACAAGGACTATTTTTTTGTGATACTAGTGGATCTACAGATACTAGAGGACTAAAGTAAGCTTATCTGTTTGTATAACAAAAACAAATCTCAAGCTAAAGTCCTCAAGGCTGATTTCCTTGCAGAACTTTACCACACTTGATTCAGGTGTAATGAAGCAGAGACACAACTAAAAATTAAATGCCACAGACCAGCTTTAAAACATTAGTGAAACATGGTTTTAAAGGGACTCATCTCCCTCATGCACACACAGCCTGAAATTAGCTATTTAGAAAGGCTAGCAAAACCTTTTGAATGTTAACCTATATTTCTAAAACAGGATCGGAAAGTATCTGTATCGACAGATAGACGGTTAATAAAAAGAGATGAAAAGTCAGTCATAAAATGCATTATTAAAGAATAAGACATTGCATACCTGGAACATGGCTGTAGAGTCGAGTCTAAAGCCATCTGATCCTGGTTGTCTGACAAGAGATAAAGCTGATGGGTCGTCTACTGCCAGCACTGCATTAAAGCTGACATCTCTGAACTCACGTGTCTGAGTCTCTGGCTGGGCCTTGTCCTGGTGAATCAAGTGATATTGATTTATAAATAAAATAAAGCAGAGAAGAAAGTATTGTTCTCAAAGTTTTAATAAATACAAAAGAGTTGTATACTAACAAGTATTTTGAATCTGTACAGCAATGTTGGAGAATCAGCCAGACAGCCGAATTCAAACTTTGTTGGGTTATATTTGGGTACATAGCCGTCAGCTCCAGCACAGAGAAACACTTTTTCTATGCTGCAGAAGAAAGAATCTCCCAGATTCTGCACTGGATCCACCATGACTCGGCCGTATATTGTATCACCTGAAAAGGTAAAGGAGTCATGAGTTCTATTTACTGCTGTTCTTTTATCGATCACCTCAGTTCTTAATGTTTTTTCTACTTTTTCTACTTTTTCACACAATCAAGTGGAGACCCCAGATAAAATACATATAAATATATTCTAATATTTTCTTTACTTCTTTCAAATGGAAATGTTCTGCAAAAAAAACAACTAAAACTAAATAAACAACAACTATCTAAAAGAAATGTAAGAAATAGAAAGTCTCACCTTCAGAAAAGGCAACATCACTCTCCTGAGCAAAACCCATAGAGCCATCAGAAAGCCAGAGATTCCTCTTAGACAGCAAGAACATCTGAGTGTTCAGACTGAATTCCACTGCAACTGGGTCGCTCACCTGCAGGAGGATACAGCTTTTTAAGTGAGAGAAGGCAACACAGCTCTTGACAAAAAAAACAAGCAAACAAAAAACTGATTAACAAAGACAAAAGGTTGAACAGGGTTATTCTTACTTGTTGAAATCTGATGTCAAGGTCGAATGTAAGAGCCTGTCTGGGACTGCAGATAGGCGGAACAGTGTATTCTATGTTCTGAGATGTTGTACAGGGGATCAGCTTCACCGTGTATGTTCCAGAATAATCTCTGACCTGTATACAAAGGTTACAATGATTTTAGTCTGTCCCTCTGTTGTGGCCCTCATGTTCTCTGTAGAGCTCAGACAGGAGCTGGTTTGGTATGACAGTACATCAAGGTTTTAAAAGAAGTTACAGCTTATAACCACTTTGGTTAAACCTGACAGGCTTCCTATTGAGATAATGCTTTTCTAATGAAATGCCAAGGAAAAAAATAAATAAATAACAGATGCTTCTTACAACTGCTTCTCAATAAATCTGAATATATTTTTAAAAAAAAATCTATTTTTTACTATTTCTGACGGATTAACAAATTCCAAGTCTTGACTTAAGTTTTACATTTCGGGACAAATAACCCCCATCTTTTCCATCCCTCTATCCATTGTCTATCCTTGCATTGTTCCCCTGTTTTAAATTTAAGCTATAGCATTAAGTTAGGTTGTTTCTTTTAAATAATTTAATAAAAAAGAGTGATAATCTTACAGCAAAATCGGAGATGAATGTCCATTGCTGCACAGGCTGGTTGTAGGTGGGCTCACTCCTCACTAAGGTGAGGTTGAATATAAGGCCAGGGTGGTCTTCGCTCATCACAGTGGATAACAGAGATGTTGCTGCACACAGTTGAAGACATTTAAAAGCATTGCTATTGTTTTGTTTGCTTGTTTAAAGAATCTAAATCTGAATCTGTAATGATTTCTTACCAGTTCTGGTTATTCTGTCCTTAGAATGAGACTCAATAAACAGTCCCCTGAAATGAGCTTTGGTGCGGAAATTCACCACCAAACGTCCCTGCTCATTAATGCGCATGCTGGTAGGATACAACGATCCTATTAAAAATAAGTTAATAAAATAAATAAATATATATAAAAACAACATCATTTATATAGGAACTTCTTTTTAAGGTTTTACTTTCACACTAACAGGAACTTACCCTGCAGCTCTGCTTGCGGGGGGCTCCCGATGCCATCCTTCCACAGAATGGCGGTGTCATAAACAAAAGTAAGGCGAAGCTCTGACTGGAGGTCAAAGTGCTGCCAACCCCCCGTGCCAAGTGGTGAATGGAACACATAAGACACGTAAAGAGGCACACGGAGCGTCACGTATGATTGGACCAGGTTCAGAACCTGCAAAGAGGTTTCAGGTGGAAATTAGTGAAAACTTTGTATCAGTTTATTTGAAAAACAACTAAATGCTGACACCTGTGAGTAATATCTTATGCTTTTTTTTCATTTAAATAAGTCTTGTAAGTTTATTTTTTTTATTTAAAAAAAAATCCTTCTTATACAAGTGAGAGTTATTTAAAGCACTCTTCAGATTAAAGAATAATTGTAGGTTGCAAGGCTATAATAAGTACAGAAGAGATGTAACAGATGAACACATAGCTCTCCTCCTCATGATCCTTTAAAACTTCCACTCCTACTCAGTGTGTTCAAGATGTCAAACGCCTTCTTGTGTTGTTCACAAACAACTAGTATACAGTGATGTAAGCACATATTGACATTTTTTTTTAAGTAAATTCCTTTCCCAATTAAAACACATATATGCCTTGTGTGAAAGTAAGCTCAATAAACATTCTTTTAATAAATGTGACAAATCACCTGTATATTATTCATTAAATCACTTTAGGTGTTCATGATGCAGTACCACACACTACCACTAGATGACCCCGTTGAATAGAATTTTGGCTTTATTTTCTATGCCTTAAAAGCTTTATATGACAAGAAACAGTATCACCTACATTTAAAGTTTATCTTTATCTTTAACAACAGACCTCATAATTCAGGTGTATATATTTTAAGACTGCTTTTCATTGTAATCACTGCAGATGAAACAACTTTTGCTTGTGTTTATTAGTAATGCTGCCAAAGGGTTAGGGTACCGCAGAACATACAGACATTTTTTCTTCATGCGTTTACGTTCTCCAACTCACATAGGGAATTATCTGAAATTATTGTTAAAATTAATGTCACATTCTCTGTTTTTTATTTTTTTCTGTCCAAATAAAGTAAACCTGGCCTTACATTTCTTTCTTTGCATTTCTTTATATCCTTGAAACTGTCCTTGTAGGGACTATCAGCTGATCTACTCCAGCAATAATTTAATGTTCTTGTTTTATGATAGAACTTTCTCTCTGTGTTTAAAACTGTCTTAGAAAAAGCAGAAGATAGGGAAACTGTAGCAACTGTATTTTGTTCTTCATCCAGTTATTTCTTATCAGCTTATGACTTTATCTGTGCATTTGTGTGTCCACATCTTTGCTAGAGTTACAGAAGAAATAAACAAAATGCATTATTTCACATAGAGAGAATAAAATTATACTAATTTGAAGAATTTTTTCAGATGGAGTATGGAATAAAACCATACAACATCTCTCGTCCCTTGAACAGCATATAGACATACACCAGCCCCACGTACATGTACTCCCATGTGAATAGCTGCCACTTAAACAGTGAGTGCAATGAATTTAAGGGTCTTAGGCTGTAGGGGGCTATATTCCTATGAATGCTAAACAATGGGCCTTGTGCTAGAAGCTTTAATACAAAAAAATTGCATTGAAATTGTTTGAATGTCGCATTCGGCATTTTTCTCCTATTTCTAATCTCTCAGGTATGAACACATTTTACCAGAGCTCCAGACTTGACACAGGAGTCTTGTGTAATCGGTCAGCTGTTATCCAAACTTTGTTTTTTTAATCATACGACTACATTCGTTGTTACTTAGAAGTAACTGTCCTTTTTATTAGGATACATCATTATGCACTGCACAATAACAACACAAAAATCATCAACGGAAATCAATTTTTTTATCCAATAGAGGCCTGGATTTAGAGTCACACACAAAATTAAAGTGAAGAAAACAGACTACAGGTTGATCAAACTTTCATTTATTGTCCTTACAACGGGTTAAAATGAGGTTCAGTATTATTTGTGGCCTCCATGTTCCTGTATGTCTTTCCTACAATGCCAGGGAATGCTCCGGATCAGGTGTTGAATGGTCTCTTGAGGGATCTCCTCCCAGGCCTGGACTAAAGCAACCGTCAACTCCACAATGGTCTGGGGCGCAATGTAACATTAGTGGATGATTGAGAAATGATGTCCCAGATGTGCTCAATTGGATCCAGGTCTGTGGAAAGGGTGGGCCAGTCCATAGCTTCAATGCCTCCAATTATATAGGAACTGCTGACCCACTCCAGCCACATGAGGTCTAGCTATGTCCTGTATTAGGAGGAACCCAGGGCCAACCCCACCAGCATATGGTCTCACGAGGGGTCTGAGGGTCTCATCTCAGTACCTAATGGGAGTCATGCTGCTGTTGGAGGGCACATAGAGGGCTGTGTGGCCCTCCAAGGAAAAGCCACCCCTCACCATTACTGACCCACTGCCATACCTGTCATGTTGAAAGATGTTGCAGGCAGTGTCTCCAGGTTCTCCAGCACATTCACTAGTGGTGAATTTGCCAATCCTGGTGTTCTCTGGCAAATGCCAAGTGTACTGCATGGTGTTGGGCTGTGAGCAGAACCCCCATCTGTGGATGTCGGGCCCTCATACTATCCTTATGGAGTCTAACCAGTGGTGAAGGCACATGCATATTTATGGGCTGCTCTAGGTCGTTTTGCAGGGCTCTGGCAGTGCTCCTTGTGTTCCTCCTTGCACAAAGGCGGAGGAAGTGGTCCTGTTACTCTCCATCTACAGGTACACTGGCCTGTCTGCTGGTAGCGCTTTCTGCCCCTGGACACTACGCTAACAGACACAGCAAACCTTCCTGACGCAGCTTGTATTGCTGTGCCATACTGGCTGAGCAGCAGTACCTGAGCCACTTAGGTCAGTTTTACAGTCTGTGTCATGCTACTGCGAGTGTGAAAGTACCACTAACATTCAAAACTGACCAAAACATCATTCACGAAGCACACAGTAAGGTACTGAGAAGTGGTCTACGGTCCCTGCCTGTAGAAGCACTACTTTATTGAGTGCGTCTTGTTAATTGCCAATAATTTCCACATGTTGTCTATTCCATTTGCATGTGAAACTGATTATCTAAAAAAAAAAACCTTAAACAGATGGGGTAGGTTTCAGCCCAGGTTTAAGCTTTCAAAAACCTAAATGCAGCAATAGAGTTGATTCCTTCCCGCTATCATTGCAAACCCCCACCCCCTACAGGGGACCAGACATATTTCCTGTTTAGCCAGGCCAACAATTCCCTCTAACGACCCCCCTTTTAGAAGCATAGACCAGTATCAGGTATTGCAGGCTAACAAAGAACTCAAACGACTTCCCATTCCTAAGGGGTGGACCTGTTCTTCTGGTTCAATTTGCATGTTTTCTAAGCCAAAACAAGCCGTTGTTTTGGTCCACCCTATAAAGCCTAGAACTAAATGCTAATCCTGACATTTTGAATTGGAAAAGCTTTCTAGATGGGAAGCAAAATGTTTTCAAATTTGGAAACAAAGTCCATTGGATTGTTTTTTTTTTGTTTCTTTTTACTTTTTTTGAATGACTGGTTTATTTTATTGTCATTTTGTCAAAGGAACGAACAGTAAGTGAGCTCTATGTGAGGTCAAGCTACTATTAAAATGACAATCTGAAAGTTCAGAGAGGAGGTTAAGCAACATGTTGCTGCTTGAAACTCCTCTAACAACAGGACATACACTCATTTCAATCCATTACAGCTCCTTGGGTTTGTTATTACATAAATTGTGGAATGTTTGGGTTTGGGTCTGCCTGAATTTGTCAAATTAGTTTTACCAATAACATTTTTATGTTTATGCATTTTATGAGAGAGACAGAGTGTGATGAAGGAATGACAGATGTGGGCTGGAGATGTGCAGATCAGGTGTGTGTGTGTGTATTAATAGGATATTTAGCAGAATGTTGTTTCATGTTGGTTGATGGAGAACTCATATCAAGCATTTATGTCATTGTTACACCTCTTACCTCCAACAGTGGTTTTCATTGATCAAATTATTTTTATTTTTACTTTTGCAACAGTGCAACCAAAGCATTTTACAGCTCTTGTGATTTAGTTCCGCACTTCCTGGCTTTTACTGCTTCTTTAATTCTGCTGCTCAGCTGTCAGTCAGCAGAACCTCAATCTCGAAACTGGTAAACTCTCTCTTTTTCGTCTTCAATGCCATTTCCGTGAATGAACACCTTCTAACAAGCGCTGTAAGCCGTATCCTTATATGGAATTATCGTACCTTATTTATGCAGAATTGGAATTCTAATGAATGCATGCTCACTTAAACGGAGGTGGACTGCATAATTTTTATGAGGATCATTTACAATCATTTACGGAAGTTAAAGGAGAAGTTCGGTTTTTTACACTTTAAGCCCATTTTCTGTAGTGTCCAGGATGAAATCGAATGATCGACACCAAAAGATTGACAATTGCTCCTGTCTCTGCTTTTTGGCTCATTTAGAATCACCCCCTGGCTGCTTTAGAATGGCTTGCATAGAGCATGTCTGATAATGTCCTTAAAACAACCTTAAACGTTCTTTTTTTAAAATATGCTACTCACCGGGTCGTCAGCGCTGTTCAATGACGTTCCAAAAAAAGTTTCGTAAAGAAAAAACGTTCCTGTAGTGTTTTATTTAGCATTTTGTAAATCCCATTGAGTTCTGTAGGAATAGTCAATATTCCGCTGCCACCGGAAACGGAAATGGGGCCTGTTTACACAGTTGTAGTCTTTTCGCTTCACTCTGCATACTCCGACGTCGAGGTGCTAACGTCTCTGTTAAACACTTTAAAAAACTCTGAAAATGGAATACGAAAGGTGGATTCTTGATTCTCGACGTCGGAGTACACAGAGTGAAGCGAAAAGACTACAACTGTGTAAACAGGCTCCATTTCCGTTTCCGGTGGCAGCGGAATATTGACTATTCCTACAGAACTCAATGGGATTTACAAAATGCTAAATAAAACACTACAGGAACGTTTTTTCTTCACGAAACTTTTTTTGGAACGTCATTGAACAGCGCTGACGACCCGGTGAGTAGCATATTTTAAAAAAAGAACGTTTAAGGTTGTTTTAAGGACATTATCGGACATGCTCTATGAAAGCCATTCTAAAGCAGCCAGGGGGTGATTCTAAATGAGCCAAAAAGCAGAGACAGGAGCAATTGTCAATCTTTTGGTGTCGATCATTCGATTTCATCCTGGACACTACAGAAAATGGGCTTAAAGTGTAAAAAACCGAACTTCTCCTTTAAGAATGTCTGTTGAATCTAATGTGGCGCATGCTTAAGAGCTCACAGTAGGAGAAAAAGTAAGTAAAGTAAGCAAAAAGTAAAACTAAGTGCCACTAGTGCAAAGTTTTTGTTGGTATTTTGTGGTCCTTGATTTGCAGATCTGCATCTGTAAGGGCGTCACAACAATAAGGTAGTGACCCCCTTAGAAATGTGGTTCTTTTGAAGCATAGCAATTGCACTTTACAAATTGGACCTCAGACTTGTAGATTATAAGCCTTACTTGTAAATATTGTGTACCAGTGGTCATAGCCGTTTCCAGCAACTATTATTCTTACCTGGTCTCTATGTCATACTGCATCATATGCACTGTATACCAACCCCCACATATTCATCAGGCAAATCAGCAAAAAGAAGCTTTTAGATCAAAGGCTGGAGGACAAAATAACAGCAGGAAATGAGCATGGTCTTTATCAAGAGAAACTATATATAAGAAAAAATATAAGCACTACAAAATTACAGTGCTGAAAAAGCAACTTTAAAAAAATAGAAATGTTGACCTTGTAAGGATTTGGTTTTGATGAACACATTAAGTAAAGCTATTAAAATAGATCCTATGGATACCTCCACGTATAGGAGTTTATATCTCAAACAGTGGTAAACACAATGGGGGTGGTCTTGGCTGGAACTTACTCAAACTTTGAGTGTGTTTCTGTGTACTTTCTCACAGAAAGCTGTCCATCACAAGCACGCAAACACACACACAAACTGCACATTATAAGGAGGAAAATCGATATGGTGCCGCTGTGTCTGTGCGGCCTCCTCATTTAGACAATTGTAAATAGAATGTGCACAACCACCAATCCAAACAGAGACCACATTAAAATATGTAAACACAATCTCTAGATTGAATCTTAAAAGAGGTTTTGAGCATAGATTACACACACCTGTCCATCCGTGCCTATTGTTCCTCCACAATCTGTAAGCAGCTCAGACATGTGGTAGTAGCTGCTGAACTCCCACAGACATGCTTCCAGGTTCAGGTTCTTGTAGAAGCGAAGCGTGCTGTTCCCCCGCAAAGAGCCACTGAACTGGTAGGGCGCAGACTCCGCCATGCTCTCGGGGCTGTGTGTCAAAGCCGTGATGAAGCCGTGACCTGTTGTGACCTCATTGAAGTCAAGCAAATTTGAGCAGCGGTGGTTTCCGACTCGGGTTCCATCCGGACTGAGAGTCAGATCAAAGTTTGTGAGGGGCCGAGTGGAGATCACAGGAAGCATACCTGTGTAATATAAAGAGAAAAGAGTCCAAACATGTTCACCTTTCCTTGATATAGTAGTACAGCCTTGTAAAACTATTCAGAACCTTTCAACTTTTTCAAATCTCACAACATATAAAAGAGAAGCTTAAAGTTATTACATTGGGATGTTATGGGAAAGACAAACAAATAGTGCATGTGTGCAAAGTGCAACAAATTGATGCAAAAAACACAACAGATTGCTTATTTTTGAAAATAACATCTGTAAGGTTTCTCTCTCTATGTATATATTCAACTACAATGAATCAACTTGTAGAACCAACTCTGAGGGTACAGGTAAAGGTCTTTTATTAAATGTACAGGGGCGGTGCTAGCCTTTTGGGCACCCTAAGCGCCAATGTTTTGTGTTGCCCCTTCTCCTATAAAGGTACTTTTACTTAAAACCTGCCAGAAGCTATGCGTCACGCCCCTTGCGCAGAGGTTCTGCAACCGTGTTAAAAAAATCTTGACTACGCATTGGACAGCAAATCCGCGCAGGCCTCAAGCGGAAGTGCGCAGACAAAAAGCAGCTGTGATTGGTCCTTGGTATGCCTTTGTGGCTGTTTGTGTAGTCTTCCTTCTCGATTCGGTGCTGGTGCCATTTTTAAAAACTGAGGAACAAGTACAATGGACAACTATGATGAAAGGTTAATTGAGGCGGGTCGATCCATTAACAGAACCTGTTCTTCTTCGATGTCTAGCAACTCTAGATGCATCTCCGTGACCGTGATATTTTGCAGACGTGCCATTGTTGTTTCGGAAGATAAACACTCCTGCCGGCGTTGCCGACGTTCTCGTGACCATCCTCTGAAGTTCGCGTGAGTTCTCGAATAGGCTCCCCCTTGCACTTTGGAGGGAAACTGCTGTGTGTCCCTAGAAATTCCAAACTGACCGAGAAGCATACCAGCAACACTAGTTCGCGACCAGACCTAAGCGACATTTGATGTGAAGTCTAAGCTGCTCTTTAGGCCGAAATGCAAAATTAAACAATGATGTGCTTTGGATCCTATTGAAGGTCCCTTACTGGACTAGTGCCAGTCAGCTGGACCCAGAGTGCAGGCTGTGGGGATCGAACAGGGTACTTGGAAACTTGTTAGAGCAGAAGCGCACTGCTCTAGCCACTAGGCCAACATTTATATATAAAATAATGAACCCATTTTAAATGCTACTATTAGAAACATTGTTAATAGATTTATAATGTATTTGAAAGACTCAAAAATGATGTAACTGTTGCTTTAATTAAGCCTCAGATACATGTTATCGAATCTATTTCTTGTTATTTTTAAGTTCCTATTTTTAAGGGTAGTTGTTTTTGTTTATATATCTACCAGACAGTGTCCAAACAAGGTTTTTACTGTCATGGAGTTAAATGAGCAAAGACAACAGATTTTGAGGGGGACTGAAACAAGGAAACAAAGTATAATGAAAGAAATTTAAAAGTTGGGAATGCAATGCTGAAATGGGACTCGTCCTATAAAGTGCTGCTAGAATAGATCTTATTCTTTGTGCTGTTTAACCATTTTGTATTTGTTTGATGCAAACCCCTAACGACCTTATAAGGGTTTTTTTTCTAGAGTAAACTGACTTATATCAAGTTTTGTTTTCCTGATGAACATTCATTAGTACGAGCGCCTAATAATTTATTAACAAAATGTGAAAATGTTTGATGGACATTAATTCAATTAAAAAATAAAGGACTTTAAACTCTGCAGGAAAAAAGAAAAATGCAAAAGAATCTCGAATAGTGAAGAACATAAAAGTAAAACCAAAACAATATAAAGTAGTTGCTTCGGTTCAATATATATATATATTTTTTCTGGGGTTTAATCAATATTCTGGCTGCAATGCTGCTTCTGATCCCCAGTTGTGAATATTACTCACACTACATTACACTTGACTTCATCTCGAAGCTGGCCTGCCTCCAGCTCCAAACTTACCATCTATGTGAGGCATGGTAATGGTCACTTTGATGAGGTTAGGGTGTTTTGGGTCGTCTGCTCCGGTGTAGCGCAGCTTGGCAGAGAAAGGTTCAGCACCCACAATTCCCATCTGACGAGGCTGACACATACCTTTTTATAACAAAACAAGAAAAAAAAGACTTAAGCATAAACTCCATATTAAATCAAATACTTCTCATGAAGCAATGTGAACTGGTGTCCTTTTAAAGTGGAAGACAGATCTGGTAATTTATACAAAAGTGATACAGCTATCACCAAGTGAGGCAGCAATTTACATATTTTACAGGAATACACTGGGACCACCCAGGGAGAGCAGGTCTAGACTTGTTGCTTTCAGGATGTGTAGGTGGAATGAGTGCAGCATAAATGATTGCGTAGCAACAGCAAAAACCAAGCACCCTTTTCTCTTTTTGACAAATGACTGATAGGTCTGAACCATACTGAGACAACACACCCGTAGCAAAACTGAATACTAGGTATGTAACCTGTTAAAATGAGTCAGAAAGTGTATTTGTTATTAAAATCTTATATTTGTCCATAAATCTGATCTGACATAATCTATGTAAAGATATTACATGGATTTTACCAATATTCAAAAAAGAAATTATGTATGTATGCTTTTATGGCTGTTTTATCAGATGAAGTCCTCTGTGATCGTTATATCATTACAGTACAGAAGCTTCCAGTTTCATCACTCAAATTGCACAACCTTTAATGTTCATTAATGCAGTGTTGTATACAGTAGTAGTAGCAATATACTGTTTTATACTGATATATAGTCCTGGTGATAAAAAATGAAATAAAACAGATGTGTATTAAAAGTATTCACGTGCTTGTTTAATCTGTTGGTTTATTAGTTTTTTTCTTCAAATTACTGAGTGAGATTAAATCAGTGTTTGATGTCACATCACTTTTAATTATTTTATTGGTGTGAACAGAATAAATGGATTAAACATTTCCTTTATAATGCATACAGAGTGGTTATGCCTGTGCTCTGAAAAATCCTTGAGGTGACATTTGTTGGAAGTCGAACTGTCAACGTAGATATAAAATTTAAAAAGAATGAATAAATATTGTCTTAAAATGTTTGTGTCCTTAGACTTATCAGTTGTGTTATCAGATCTCAGAAACCAAAGGTTAGTTGGGTTTCCTTTTAAGCTAAAAGTACAACATTTTAAAACATTAAAATATCCTTACTCCATTTGTAAGAGTTTGCCATGTTATTATGATATCCATCTCTGTTTCAGCATCTTAGGGAGGAAGGCTGCTGTAATACTTCAAAAATGGCTTCAGTATAAAAGTGATTTGTTTAGGAAAACTGTAACCGTATTAATATCTTTTTCCTATTTGTGAATGTTAAAGAAGAATGCATTTAAGGTAACCGAAATCTAAATAAATAGTTAACACAAGGAAAGTCTGCAAGACAGTTTAGGCAGTCAACCTGAGCTGTGTTGCTGCTTCATGTGTGATCCTTCTTATATTGCATAAAACATAAACTATACCATATAATTTAGGAAGCCTATTTACGCTGCAAAGCATCCTGTTACACTTTACATTTCATGCTCTTGTGCTGAGTTTCTACTTGATTTTCATCAGCAACTCCGACACACCAGCAACCCCTACTGTTAAAAGGTCAGAGAGCTTTGCATCTCTTCCTGACATACAGAAGATATATTCAGTAGAGCAGAGATGAGGTCATCAGTGTATGACATTTGAGCAGCATGCACATCAGCGTGAAAATTTAAAATTTCCACTATAAGCATTATATGTGTAAAGTACGGTGGCAATTCAAAACCCGTCCATCCATTTATTTTCTCCCGTTTAGTCCTTGTCAGGGTCGCTGTGGGGCCGGTTCCTATCTCCGGGAGTCTATGGATGAGAGGCGGGGTACACCCTGGACAGGTGGCCAGACTGTCACAGGGCAACACAGAGACACACAACCCTGCACATGCACTGTCACTCTTAAGGAAAATTTAGGGAAGCCAATTAACAATCATGTTTATTGACTGTGGAAGGAAGTACCTGGGGAGAATCTATCTATGCATGCATGGCCAGAACATGCAAACTCCATGCAGAAAGACCCCGTGCCAGGAATTGAACCCAGAACCTTCTTGCTGCAAGGTAACAGTGCTACCCCCTGCGACAATGTGCAGCCCTTATTCAACACCCATTTACTTAAATTAAACTATGAGAGGGTTACTTTCCCCAAAGAATTAGCGTTCTGTCTGGAGTTAAAGTGTGAATTGCTGTGGTTTCTTTTGCAATGACTACTGATGGTGATAGAAGCCTGGCATTGTCCATGTATGGGAGCCTTTTTTCTGTCACTGTATGCCTGGGCAGCTGTGGTTCGAAGTAGCTCACCACTAAGAATGGGTAAACTAGTGTGGGGTGTTACCTTTTGGCATTATACATTAGTGTTAGATAGTGTTGACTTGCAACTATTAGGTGTTGTATCAACTCTGTCACTCTGTTAGCACTTTAGCATTTACAATAGTGTTGTTTTTACTATGGTAAACAGGAAGTAGAGGCTGCTCCTGTTTAGTTTTAATGAATGTGTTGCGATCGGGGAAGCTTTTCTTAGGTTAACATGTCAACTAGTACTGCCGATGCTGCTTCCAACCATGTCTACATGCATAATAACAACATCCAGAAAGATGTTTGCTACATCAGCGTTGATTCGAAAAAAGTGTTTTCATCTTCCTTTTTGCAAATATTCCTTTTTTCGCAGAAACGACATCAAGAGAACGTAAGAACTTTTAGCTAATTTCCAGGAGTTTATCAACATTTTGCAGTTTCCATCAAGCTTATCTGATGCTATATTTAAAGAGTAAAGAGTAAAGACTCTTTACGTAACAGAGGTTGGGTGCCGGCTAACTTTGTTCAGAGCATTTTGAGTGCTTGTTTTTTTTTGCGCTGCTTCTATGTCCCGCCATCATCGGATCTGTTGCTTTGAGACATCCGATTTGCGGTCGCATTTCACTGCGTACATAGTAGCTACGTGGTTGGAGGAGAGACACACACTCAGTGAATTTAACCGGCAGATACTGTGATAGATGTTTAAGTAAAAGTTAGGAGACGGGTTGGTTAAAAAAATTAGATGCCACAGAAAAATCTGTTCATTAGACATACAGAGCTTTTTCAGTTAAAAATGGCAACAGATTGTAAGTTTATACACGTTAGTATTATAACACAGCTTGAGAAAACATTTTTAAATGTTGTGTTCTTGTTTATTAGTTTAAAAAAAGCTGGGCTTCTTAGAGGACCTTGACTCACTGTTACAGGTTAAAATTAACACACATCTTTTGTTTTTCTTATTGTACAGACAAAATCAGACTTCAGAGCTTCTGCACATCTTGAAATTTTCTTTCTGGCATCATTATATTTGTTTATAGGTTCATGAATATTTTTAAACAGAGCACAGAGAGAAATGGGAGAGCTGCAGATATAAAGGTGAAACAGATTTATTGGGATATGCAACATGAAATAAAATATATCTCAAAGTCTACCAGAAAGTTTACAGGAAAAAATATGCTTTGCTATATCTAAAATGCAGCATATCCATATGGATGGATGGATGGAATTAAAATTGTACATTCTAGGGATGTTATATCCATTTTAGCATCGTAATTGGCTGTTATTTGTTATTTTTTTATAGACCCCCATATATAATGCACTAAAAGTAATCATCTATAAAATTTAATATTAGTATATTATGGTTCTCTTGTGTTCTTAACAATAGGAAATTATTTAAAAAAATATATGTTTGAGCTCATTTTTGGAAAATATAAAAACCTGATGAAAGTGTTTGGGTCGAGTAACTGTAGGTCCATCAACCACCACCAACTTTCATTACAAAGCTACACCCTGAAACTGTCTCAATGCAATTGGCCAGGTTTCCTTCGATAGAGAATTGTTTTACTTATATGATAAATAAGTTGAACAAGAGTTCATGCCATGGATTATTAAACTAGAATCATATTGCAACGTGTGCACCTGACTTTGAATCTGTATCTAAAACCCACTCAGGGATTGAACTGTTCATACTTAATTTTAGGTATATTTATCTAAAAAGACAAGGGGCAAAATCCTTGTTTGATTTCAATTTTTTTCTGCAGTAGCAGAAAAGCAGAGAATTGGGTTAATTCATTGTTCTGCTCTCACCTTCCTCCTGGCTGATGGTGATAATAGGACTGCTGAGCTCCAAACCTTCCTCCCCGTTGGAATTAACGGCCCGAGCGGTGCACCGCACCCTCGAACCTGCCTGGAAGTAGACCGAGTCCAGCGTAATCATCTTTGAGGAGGTAAAGAAAGTGTCAAAGTCCACCTCCCTCATGGGGCTGGTGACGCCATTGGGGCCAGCTGGGGAACTGATGAGCCAGCGGTAGCGGGTCAAGGTGTTGTTGATGTGCTCGCTGACACAGATAGAACCAGTCTTGTCATAGTCGGGATATTTGGTGTCACAAGCCTGGAGGATGGGAATCAGGAAGAGTTGGTGGGTAAAAAAGAAAGCAGAGAGGATAAAATCCAGATGTTTCAGTATGTTATGTTCTCATAATGGAGTGTTTATAACTAGCTTTTAGGTATTTAGCAGAGTAGAGATAATGGATAGAGGGGTGAGGTTTAAAGAGATTCTGCAGATTTGCTTTTAAACCTGTTGACACTAAGCCCCCCCCTGGTGTAGCACTCAACACTTTTTTGTTATTTTCTGACAAGACTACTTCATTTTACCTCCTTGAGGAGCCTCCCACGCAGCTGACCACACTGCAGCAAAACAAGCACATCCCCACTCCTGCACTCGCTCACACACAAACACCCTCATGGTCCACACACAGCAGCCACCTGAGGATCAAATGACTTAGCACATCACGAGAATCCACTTAAGAGTCTCACTGAGCCTGTTTTCAAGAGTGGAAGCGATTCTCCTGTGTATGAGGAGGACTGAAGCCCTGCTAAACCATACAGCGTGTCTTATTAATGACAGTCTTAGGTAGTGGTGGTGATGGAGGGGGTGATTTGGCGCTGCTGTCTCCTGAAAACCTTAAAAATTGCCTGTAGATCATAACAGTCATACTGTTTATTGGGATCTCTGCTTGACTCACTGTGACACAGATGACTGGGTAGCCAGCTGGTGGGTGGAGCATGTCCGCTGTCCTGGCGACATTATCGTAATGAAGCAGAGACACGACATGAGGCAAAGAGGGGAAGGTGACATCAGCCATGCTGTTGGACTCCTCGATGTAAACTATAGCTTTCGTCACCTGTTTCAGAAAGAATTAGCAATTTATGACAACTGCCTATCTTTGAATTCTTTATTCAGTTTCTTCCTCCAATTCCTCCTTTTGTGTTTCCATCTGGAGCTTTTAGAGTGCAGGCTGCTCTTTCACTTTCTTAAACAATCTATTATTTATTGTGAAATGTTTTCATTACAGCAAAGTGCTGCTGTTGTCTGTTCAAGACATTCCTGAAAAACAGATCCCTAGTCTCACATGGACTGACCTGAATAAATATGGCTCTATGCATTTTTTTTATGCTTACAGTTTGAGCTCTAAGAATTAAAAGTAATAATAATGTGGTGGTAAAAAGAATGGAAGCGTAACCAACCTGAGTTTCAGCAACCATGTTCTCATCTGGCTTTAGATGAACCGTAAAAGCCTCCCTCATTTCTCTGATACCATCAAACAGCACCTCCACCTCTACGACGTGTCGCTTCTCTCCTTGTTTAAACTCAATATCTGGGCAAACACAAACAGCCTTGAATGCAGTTAATGAATTGTACAAAAAATAAAAAATAAAAACAGGACAAATGGATCATTCTAGAAAAAGTGTTTCTGTCATACTTTCATATCTGTGATATTTCTCTAGCAGCAAACATAGCTGTCTGCAAGGCCACTGTCTCTTTATATGTTAAATGTGCAGATACATGGGGGGAGAGAAGCTCTGTTTTAAAGCAAAACAGCACATTTAAGATTTCTAATAAACTCGTCATAAGTTATTTTGATAAGATCTCAGATTGAAACCTAACAATAACAACACATTTATGGAACACATTTATTCAGCTCTTAAGCCCTTTGTGTTTTCTTAGAGGACTATTACTGAGGGTTCGCTTTAAAGTTTCATTCTCTTCAACTCAATGCAAAGGTCTTCTTTTGAATTTAGGTAAGGGAACTTAGATGATGATGATGTAAGAAATTTTTGTCTGATGAAGCATTTCTCTGTTGACTTGAACACCTTTTTAGCTCATTTAATGATTGTTCTTAGTTTACTGGTTATGAATTCCTTTAAAATCTCATAATGTTTTAAAGAGTTCATGGCACACTTCAATTCAATAAGGTCCCCAGAGGAGATACAGGAGAAAAATTATCCGTAGCATCACGGGTTCTCCGCCACAATTAACAGTGAGACTTAGTTGATGCTTTTCCACACTGATCCTTTGTTGCATGCTAAACTCACCTGGTTTAGCACTCAACAGCCATTCTGCCAATTGTTCTAACTTCTAATGCAATTACTTCATTAATTGTTAAAAGGTGTAATAAAATACATACATTGTAAAATTGAGGAATTAGCTACTGTCAGAGTAAAATCTGATCATTAACAGTAAGCATTTGCTTCATATTTAAATTTTTTCTTAATAATATTAAACACAGAAAAGAAAAATAACACAGTTAGTTTGAATCAATGGGACATTTAGCTTTCTTACCAAGAAATTGTGCTTTTACAGTGTTTTTTTTACATTATATTACATTTTGCACATTTGCAAAAAACTGTTTTTAAGTACTTTCATAGTTTTTTGCATATTTTTGAATTTTTACTGAGGCTCTATAACAACCTATGTTAGAAAGTGTTTATAAAGATTACCTTGAGAAACCGGGTAATAATCCGCTCCTGAGATAGCCGACCCATCTTTGGTATGAACCCGAACCAATGAAACTTTTGATGTGTCACCAACCCGAACCACAGGGATCCTCACAGTTGCCACTGTACCAGCTTCCTTCGGTTCACTGACACTAAACCTGGTTTCCAACAACTGGATGATGGGTTCTGAGTGATGAAAGCAAAATAAGTTGAGCACTAATTAAGGAATCAATGCTTTTATCTTAATTTTTGACTCTTTTTTTCTCCATCTTACTTACTGTCAGCTGAGTCCTTTATTTTAACTAGAGACTCATTCAGAGATCCCACTGATGCACCAAACTGTGAGCTGCTTCTTGGTTTCCCTAAGACCAGCCTCAGCTCCTCAACATCCTCATACATTGTATCATCAACCAACAAAAGAGTACACGGTTTCTCCACTTCACCTTGTGTGAGCAAAAAGCATTGTTATATTACAGAGTAAACACAGAGCCTCATATTCAAAAGAAGTGTGGCACTGAACATATAAAATTCATCCACTGTGATGGTGAAAGAGTCTGCAGGTTAAAAGAAAAGAGCTTCCAGCGGAATTTTGTGCAGAAAAAAACAAAACCCTGATACTTTGGAGAGATTGTTGTCTCCAGCACAATTTATAAAGTTTGTTATTATTGTTAAAAGTTTTTGTTAATTTTATTACTAAAAAAAAGATTATTCAGAAAAATTTGTTTTCGGCATTCTTGCACATACAGTATGTGCACAAGCACCAATGTGTGTGTGTGAGCATGAGGGTAGAAAGGAGCCAAACTGTTGCTCTTTGCAAGAGCTGAGGATGTCAGTAAAAGAGGTTGTCAACCATTGCTCTACAGTGAGAAAAAATATTTCTATAGGAAAAATAACATTAAATACAAAGCTTAAGCAAAAATTCTTCTGCTTTAGCTGGACCACCTGCAATGTCCCTCATCCAGCTTCAGACAATCAGCATCAGGACTGCACCTCCTCCTTAGCATGTGGCCTAGCTTCTCTCTCCTGCACGCCAGCAAACTTTCAACCGCCCCCGCCCCATCTCCTATCTCACCATCAGACTATTCTCAGTCCCACTAACCCTCTATTCCTCCACCAGGGGCCGGGCCATGGGGGGAGATTACTTTAATTATTTTCCTAGGTTACTCATCCAAGTGAATATAATTTCAAAGCATCAGTGTCTTCTGCCGGGGCCTGAGCGCCAAAAAACTGGTTTAATCCATTCAATAAAACTTTTCTAATTGTTGCTTTTCTCTGTGTAAGTCTCTCCAGGTTGAAATAATAAAAGAAAAGATGTGATAAATGTGCAGTGTGTCGGTGTGCCTGATGAACTACCTGGTAAGAAAGTGATGATGGAAGCATCTGTGTTGGGTCTCTCCTCAAAGTCATAGGCAACTTGTGCAGAGCCCTGACGGGAGTAACAGCGAACAGAGGATTGGTGCCAGATGTCACCGCTGCGGTACACTGTAGCTGTTATCTGACCGTCACTCTCCTCCCCAATATAAACCACTTCACGAAACTGGACCTTTGGTACTGGTGGTCAAATATAGCCAAAAGTAAAGTTATAAGGAAGTTTCATTGCATATCTCAGAAAGCAGCAGATACAAAATAAACAAGGATTTTTTTTTGTCTTATAAAGCTGGAAAACCACAAATGCAATAAATAGAGGAGTACAAAAACTGGAAACTGTTCGTCTTTGTTGTGTAAAGTGGAATCACAGACTTAGAAAGATTTCACCATTTTTTACAGGGCAAATTAAAAAAAATATAATTCTGGGTCGGCAACTGTAGTGTTTTTTTTTGTAGTGGAATCTTAGGATTAAGTTGCTTTCATTAAGTTAAAGCTCTAAAAGAACATAATCCATTTTCCATTTTTATCTGTTTCCAATGTCATTTACTGTATAATTAACAACCTTATTAATCAGTCACACTCAGCAGCAATAACTTAACTAAAGAAAATATACTTTACAGCTTCCACAGTACGACAAAAGCTGCAGCTTATCACTGGAGACACATTTTTCAGTGTTAGTGTGCATCTATTTAGGACTTTTAGGATTTACCATAGAGTGCAACTCAAACTAAGTTTTGACAAATGGAACTCATTTGGTAATTTTTATCAGTGTCATTGTGGTTTAATATATAAAATATAATATGTAGTAAGAGTAATGAAATAAGCCCCTGGCAATCCAATTATTAGGTCTTGACTTTATTCAGAAAGGACATGAAGCGTCAAAGGCTGAGAATAGGAGGGTAAGTGGATCGTATAACTCAAAATGACTCAAACTCAAAACTTTTCGCTAAAAGAATCAAATTAAATTCCTGTCACACTTTTGTTTCCACCATGTTCCATAGTGGAATTTCTTTTATTTAATTGGTTTGAAATGAAGAATTTAAATACCTTTTCTGAAATGTAATGTTCTGCTCCCTATGCAAGTATATTTATTGTTTATGATGGGAAGTAAGTGTCAACAGCAAGTAATACAGTATGGTAACCCAAATGAGTTCTGAGCTACATTTACAATGACAGGATGGGGAATAAAGTAAATTAGTGCTGAAAGCTCCAAGTCTCTTTCCTGTCAATTAGAGCTGAGAGACTCCACAAAGCCCATATGGCTAAAACTTATTTCAGAAAGTGTTTTATCCAACATAGAATTGACATTCTTAATTCACTAAAGTGAACCTCTTAAAGTAACATAACTGTGACTTCTTTTATATATTTTCACCATTATTTTTAATTTTGTTTCATTTGCTTTTTGAGCAAAACCACCATTAGATTAAATTAATCATTTTGTATTTTATTCTATCTAAATGACTTTCTGATGAAATACTGACAAAAGTTCAGAGCTTTACAGCGACACCTAAGAAAATGTAAATATGGTGAAGTATATATTATTTTTTTGACTCTCATTAATGAAATTGTAAAGATATGTTACATAGATTAATTACATATAATTTTAAACATGCAATGGGATGATTTCTTATGGATGATTATTCAAATTATAGAAAATAAAAACATCCAATTTTGTGCCTTGGTTAATTTAACATTACATATGGTAAATTTCAAGTTAAACGTATAATATATAATTTCACAGGGTATGGTGAAGAACTGGGACAAGGACTGTATACTTAAACAATTTATATTTTGCTTTTATTACATCCAGAAACAATAAACAAAACTCAGTATGTAAAAGTAGTATTTTATAAACTCACAGTCAGACACTGAGTCATTGATGATGACTGTAGCTTTTCCAGGTTCTCCAAGAACACCATTCACTGGCATTCTCAGAACTAGCTCAAAACTCTCAGCGCCTTCCAGCTCTGGCTTTCCCATGTCATCCAGAATCGTGACCTTAAACGTCTGCATGCTGACACCTGGAGCAAAGTCCAGATTATGGCTTATGCCAACATAGTCAATACTGGCTGGAAACAGAACAGAGAGAGGGGGTCAAATGGTTGGAATATGTTGATGAGATACAAAGAATACGGGCTTATTGTGATTAGTGATAAATTAAATCATTTTAAAATGTTTGAAAACAATATTTGATTATGGAAACCTGCCTTCAGCAGAGGCACGCTCAGATTTCCGAGAACGGACTGTAACAGTCCCAGTTTTGGAAAGGTCGGTTCCTGTCCTCCACACTTTGACCTCCACAAAGCCAGCACTCTCATCCACGTGATACTGGACCTCTCCAAAGTAAAACACAGGAGCTGAACATGGAAACAGGGAAAATTACATTTGTTTTCAATTAAATGAGTAAATGAAGTTAAACACATAAGTTAAACACTGTCTACAAGAGAAAAAAAATGTACGCTTAAATGTGTTTGACAAGTTGACAGGATTGACCACACACACCAACAAATCCTGATTTTTAGCTTAAATGTTTTAAGACCTCCTTAGTTTGCTAAAAGTCCCATTATAATCAGCTGAGATGACAAAAGATCTTAAGATATTGACAACCCAAAATGTTTTCTAGTTCCAGCTTCAGTCTGTGCTACTAGTGTGAGTACATCATTCTTGACACCTTGTGATTAATATTTTTAAGACTCTTATTTTGAAGTAAGAGAGAAACAAGCGCTGAACTTTTTACGCTGTTATCAAAGTTACTTATCAATGTCTTTGGCCAGCATGGGATAGAAAACAGGAGACAGGAGTGACAAACGTGAAATTAACCATTACTGGCTGGCTAACAGAGGGCGCTAGGGCGCCGTTACACCCACCCAATGACTTTGATTAAGACATAAAGAAACCAAATAAAAATTAAATGACAAAATTGAAATATACTAACATATTTTTTAGATGTGCAAGATAAATATTTATCTTTAATGACGAGTAAAGCTGTTTCGTTCGTCTTGGAATGGTGGCGTATTTCCGCCCTGGGGATCAAAAATATTTGGCCATTGTCACTACCTGATCTGTCCCAGAAGCACGATACGTATGTAAGCTCATTTGTGCATGCGTAAACAGATATACGTCTGGGTTTATGTAAATAATGTAATCATGGTATAAAACTTACTTATTTCTATCCTTAACTCACTAAAGAATGCTAATTCACATCTTTTAAAAAAGATTTTATAATTTTTCTGAGAAAATTTTGATGCTTCACCATTTTCACCATTTTTAAACTGCTTCTTTGATGTCATCATCGGACATGCTCAGAGTAGTCCGACAAAATATCATTAAATTATATTTATCTGCAATTTAGTTGTTTCTTTATTTAAGTTATGCACAATATACCATAATGTTAACACAGAGGAAAACATAAAACTCAAAAAGACTAGATTTATGTTGAAATCCAAAGGCCCTCAGAAGTAGCGTAGGATCCCATTTCCAGAACAGATCGGCCACAGGTGAGTAATAAAGCAGTAAGGATTTTAAGGCATTTATTTTCATAAAAAATACATTTTAACCTTCAAATTATAGTTTAGTACGCTTGCTATTTTTGGGGAGGGAAAAACCTAATTTAGGTATTTTTTACAAAATAAAATCGAGGGCACCATTCACATGCAAAATAATATAATATAGTTTACTTTTTCTAGGTTTTTTTATTTGCATAATAGCTCTTAAATAAACACATTCTCATAAAATATGTATATTTTTATATATTAAAAAATATAAAGCTGATTAATAGCTTCTCCATTATTAAACTGGTACATTATATATTTTTTTAGGTTTATTGTGACAATAAATAAATAAATAAAATATTGGACCATCCAAAACACTGATTTGCCTTCAGAAAGCCTCAGAAGGGCAAGATTTATGTACAAAAACCTGTACATTAATAAATTATGTTTTGTTTGTTGTCATACAAATATACTGGTGTAATAACTTTATATATGTTTGATTGGTTTTTGGTATACGTCTAAAGAGAAAACTCCACCAGCCGCCACTGAAATGAACATCTGTAAGCGTTGTGAAACTAACCCAAATCTTTGGGTTAGTGTCAAAATCAAAAGATTTTTCTACACTAAACAAAGATTCATAATAAAACATTGTGAAAACTTCATTCAATTTGGAAATTTACAATTAAAGGAGATACAGCATTCACAATAGGGACATTTTATGTAGAATGAGACAGGTGTCAAAGCTGCTATATAGCTTTGTCGTCCACTTTGTACACATGAAAAACATTGTCAGTCACCCAATTACATGGCAGCAACATAACACATCACATCATCTTTTTCTTTTTAAACTAATGTGCTACATTATGCATATAAGGTCTATAAGGAAACATATAGTAAAACAAAAAAAAAAAGGTAAAAAAGGTAAAATATGCCTGGTTGATGTCAGTGGTCATAGGATGATGTATATAATTTTTTGAAAAGATAAAAGTAAGACAAATGACAAATGGATGTATAAAAAATACTTTGTGTGGGCGTGCTCTGGCCTCCATACACCCATGTATGAAGGCCTTACTTCTCGAAGGCGGGTGACCCGGGTTCGAATCTGACCTGTGGTCCTTCCCCCGCATCTCTCCATCTTCCATACCCCCTTTCCTGTCAACCTACTGTCCATAAAAGTGACCCACTAGTGCTGTGAAAACTACAAAAAAAACAAAACAATATGATTATGTGTATTAACTGAACACACCTAAGCTGTCATTACCAAAAACTTATATTTTGACTGCAACATATGACTGCATACTATTTGTTGGATCTTGATGTACTGTTTACTGACACATTTCTCCATAACAGAGTTGCATTGTGAGTTGTGAATTCAAGTATCTCTCTTTGTCTCTAACTGATGATATGATGATAGAACCATGACTCAGATGGCAGCACAGGAGGACCACAGAGTGCCACTCCTGTCAGCTAGGAACAGAAAAAAAGGCTAAAATTTGCACAGTCCCTTCAAGCTTTGCCAGTAAACTTTTGAAAAAGACTTGTTGGTGTGATGAGTCTATTTCAGCTGAAAATTCAGATGGTGAGGTCTAAATTGTCCTGTGACGAGATGGTAGGATAGATGCATCCTACGCAGGCTGGTAATGGTGGTGTAATGTATTGAGGAAGCATCACCGTGGTGATCATGTGAACAAAGGGGTGAGCAATTCAAAACTGTAAATGTTTCATAATTAACAAGAATCTAAAAAATAAATGACTGCATACTGTTTTGCAGGATACCAGCCTTTAGGAAGTGAAATTACACATCCTTGCATTAAAAAAATAACACCAGTGCATTTATCACAGTTCAGCTTGTGTTACTAATTTAGAAAAACCAGAGCACTTTTTAAGGTTAACTACTTCCAGATCAACTACTACATGGATAAATAGATTCACACCTTTTTTGTCTAGTGTTTTAGCTTAACAGGTGACTAGAGTGGAACGCCAAAAAAGACCATTCTATCACTATTTCTTTTCACTCTGTAGAACTGAGACTTCTTGTCATCACGTAATCATGACGGAGTGTTGGCCTAGTGGTTAGCCTGCACTCTGGGTCCCTGAGCAAGACCCTTAACACCACACTGCTTCTCAGACCCCACACAATGGCAGCCCACTGCTCCCCAAGGGGATGAGTTAAATGCAGAGGTAAATTTCTCCAGTGTGAAATCAATTAAGGTAAATTATTATTATTATTAGTATGCCAAACTACTAAGATGACACAGAAGTTAATTGCGGTACTATAACGGACAAGAAAATAAACAAAACCTCCCCCCCACCAATCTGGGGAAATATTTGGTAACAATCTTATCTTAAATGCGAACAAAAATGATGAGAAAAGAAATATGTCAAACTGTGTACATTATTAAGGGGGATGTTGGAAGAGTGTAAATACTTTGGTGTTTACCTTCATAGCAACACACTGGAGAGAAAACACAATGATGAATGTGTCTATACTGTAAGAAAGGAAAGGAAAGACGGACTGTTCTTGAGGAACTTTTTTTCCCCTTTTGTTCCTACAGCAAGCTGCAGATCTTCTATGAGTCGGTTACGTAGAATTCAACCTCCAATGCAATTGTCTGTCGCAGCAGCAGCATCTAAGCCAGTGACTGAACAAAAGCTTAACATGCTGACTCTGTTTTTGAGACTGTTCTGGAGCGCCTGGCGATGACTGTGTAAAAATGGATATAGTCGGAAAAAAAAATGCAGAACACTGACACGTCTTGACAAGTGTTCATTATAGCAATTAAATGTGTGTTCAGTCAGATGCTTCATCAGATCCACGGGGAGAGAGACAACTACAGGACATCCTTTTGCCCCCTGTCATATTTGTACATGCTGGTGGATGGATCATCTACTGTACAAACAAATTTTGGGGAAACTTGAATAAGAAATTAAAACAGCTTAAAACAGCTACATTGGAACTAAACTGACAGAACAGAGGTCTGCCGTCTAAACATTTCAGACACGTTATCTGTTTCATAAACAAACTGAAATGGGAGTTAGAGCAGTTGTCCATGCACATTTAGTTTGGAAGGTCGTGTTGTTATTTCACAGTTTACTACAGTTTTGGCATGTTACACAATTTCACAAGTATGCTCTCTTGTGCCATTTTCCCGAGCCTGACATTTTGCTATTTATTTCAAACCTCACTGATAAACTGAATCCCTGCTGGAGTTTAGGACCAGCATTTTGACCATCTTTGTTGTTGCCACATGCTGGTTTAATTTGGACCTGTCAGCAGGTGCATGAATCATTTGTAAAAGCACACGCCACCATGGGGATAAAAATAAAATCCAGCAGCACATTAATCTGAGGTCAGACTGTAGGGAGCCCTGACCTCACAACCTTTCCTGTCCTCTTATTCAGCTTCTCGGCTAATTGTCATTTGCCCTTTCACATAGAAAGAGCGCCGCTGTTCGTGGGCTTTACGGTTCATAGTTACCCAACTTTGAAAGGGCAAACTGTTACCCCATTATGTTTTTAGTCAACATGATAGTGTTTAACCTATTAACTCCGTATTAAGAGTTTTAATCTCTCTACTACACGAGTACACAACTCATCAGTCAATCCACCAATACTCCCTAAACAAAAGGTTTATAGAATTGAAACAACAATGCACTCCAATTAATTTTCCAATTTTTCACAAATAACAATGAGACACGCAGAGGGTGAAACAGTCCCACTGGGAACAGGTTGTTCTTCATCTCCTGACAAAACAACTAAGTACTTTTCACACATGAGGATGATGTGAACACTGAAAACAAAGTCTCTTTGCATGACTGTCTTTATCTCTGAATGCTGGAGAACGGAGATAGAAACACAGAGACAGC